AGACCCGATTTCCCTTCCGACACGCTCTGATCAACCATCATCGCCGCTGTTACGGACAATCGGGGCGTTAATGAACGTCTAGGCGAGATACGCACGATACGGATACCCCGTCGACTTTTTGCTGGATTCCTTAGGGCGTGTATAGGACAGTGGGGCCAGTTACTGTGCCTTCTGTTTGTTCTCGAGTATAATTGATACGTTACGGTTGTCGTACGAGGAATAATTGTTCTTAATTATTTTTTATTTCATAATTGTTATTATTATTATTATTATGGTAATTGCTTATTGAGGTTGTTATTATATATTCTAGTAATAATTCATACAATTATGAATCCGTGGGGATTATTCATGAAATGTCTAGTAAATGCAGTAATTTCTCCCGGAAATGCTAAATTTTGGGTTGCTGTGAATTTCCCTGTGTCTACGCCTGTGTATTTATTGCTTTGTCGATGCTAAGGGTTGACGGAGTTCCTGGAAGATGCACAAAATGGTCTGTCTGGGTGTGACTCGGGTAAAAAGAAACCGAATTGTCTTCGAATAGTGGCAGGTGGTCTTTGAATTGCCTTCGAATAATGGCACGTGGTCTCCGAATTGCCTTTGAATAGTGGCACGTGGTCTTTGAATTGCCTTCGAATTGTGTCACATGGCCTCTGAATTGCCTTCGAATAGTGGCACGTGTTATCTGAATTGCCTTCGAATTCTGTCACGTGGCCTCTGAATTGCCTTCGAATTGCTTTTGAATTGACTTCGAATTGCTTTCGAATTATGTCATGTGGCCTCCGAATTGCCTTCGAATTGCTTTCGAATCCTGTCACGTGGCCTCTAAATTGCCTCCGAATCCTGTCACGTGGCCTCTGAATTGCTTTCGAATCGTGTCACGTGGTCTCCGAATTGCCTTCGAATAGTCGCACGTGGTCTCTAAATTGCCTTCGAATCGTGTCACGTGGTTTTCGAATCGTCTCCGAATCGTGGCAAAATATCACAAATCATCGTTTTTATTCTAGCATCGCTTCAATTTTCAAAGTTGATTACGGAGACCAGAAATGGAATGAAAATTTCAATTTTCTGCAGCAATATCCTCGATTTCTTCTAATAATATCTTCCCAGCTTTGTAGCTCATCCGTTCATATTTCTCGTAAAATGCATGCGCCAACGGCGTCTACTTATATGCACCCTTATTACTTATTCAACAGAGGATTTTGTAATTAAACTGTAAATTTTATGCATTGTGCTATTGTGCAACTTCACTTTGCACATGTATTATTTCATAGTCTTTGATCCTGCTTTATTTGCATAGACACAGACATTACCAGTTTAATGCTTTATATCCACGGTTATGTAAGTACAAATATTCCAGAAGAATATGGTTACAATTTTAGAAGAAGTTTCTAAAAAAATTACACATTATTTAATGTTACATTTTATTTTATTTTATTTAGATATTATATAATTCAATCTAATGTCACAAAATTCCCACCGATCCATGTTAACAATCCAGAATTGAATGTTCCTGGCGGTCGTTCAATTATTAAACTTTTATCCACTTTATAAACTGAACAGTCGTTCATTTAGGTCGCAAACTAACCATTCATCCGGTTCACAAGCTATCCGTTGATCTAATTCACAAACTAAACTATTCACCCGTAGTTCATGAACCAACTGTTCGCCTTAGTTTATTAAGCGAACATTATTGCGAATTCATCAATATTTTTCGATATCGCAAATATGTTCGAAATTCGCCTTCTTTTCTCTCCGCCTTAACTCCGGCCAGTTTAACGAACATTAAAAGAGTATCTAATTCTTTTTCCCCCCTCCTCCCCGCCCCCCATCACCCCATTGCGAAACATCTATTCGACGGTCAAAGTTATCCGATATGTCGATATCGAACATAACTTTGCATATTTCAGAGTAATTCAGGCTGCCGGTCGATGAAAGAATATTGATGGCCGTCTGTTCGATACCTTTTAAAGCTTTTAAATATTTTTCAAGTACATTTCAAAATATGCAAACCGGAATCATAAATGCATGGAACGCGAACGGCACGGCACGGCGCGGCGCGGCAGATAATATTTTAATATCGCGTTCGATTTTTAACTGTTCGCGCAAATTCGCGATCGCGAAGCTGCAATTTAAATCGCCCCTCGCGTCGTTTCGTCGCGTCGATCAGAACGATCTGTAACGAAGAAAATACGCTTCGATATACATATTTGCAACAATTCTATCCACAAATCCGATCCTCGATCTATCGTCCCGGCTTATCGCAAAGATCCTTATCTCATGTTATCTTAGCCTTTCGCGAAGTAATAATTATATATAATAATATATATACTATAATATATATATATATATATATATAACTGTACTATATATACTATAATATATATATATATATATATATATATATATAACTGTACTATATATATACTATAATATATATATATATAACTGTACTATATATACTATAATATATATATAACTGTACTATATATACTATAATATATATATATATATATATATATATATATAACTGTACTATATATATACTATAATATATATATATATAACTGTACTATATATACTATAATATATATATAACTGTACTATATATACTATAATATATATATATATATATNTTGTTGGCCGTCTCTTCGGGAACCCGGCCCGCGGAATTTCGGTTCGATCTTCCTTCTTCGAGCTTCGATGCCGGCGACACAATGCCGACGAAACGCGGACGACGAATTCGCGATTTTCACGGTTTCGTCAGATAATATTTCGGATAACAATAATTATCCGAAATATTATATATAATTATATATAATGTTATTATTATTATTATGATATATTATATTATAATAATTATCCGAAATATTATATATAATTATATATAATATTATTATTATTATTATTATATTATAATAATTATACATATTATTATTATTATTATTATCCAAAA